TTTGTGATGCAAAGGGCAGTTTCCTCTTTGTGTATCACCATTCCTTCCTGCATCATTTCACTGGATCCTCACAACAGCCCATCCACAAGGCAGGTGCTACTCTGCACCATCTTACCAGGGAGAAATGGAGGTTACAGGCAAATTATTCACCTGACAGAGACCACCCAGCAAGGAAGCAATAGTGAGGGGTGTTCTCAACAGGTTTTGTCCTTTAGTCTACCCTGGAGGAAGCCAGCGAGTGAATAGTTCCACAGCTCCTGCTCCACCCCACCCCGTGCCTTCACCCAAAAGTCGGATTTTGACCAACAATCTGGTCGACTCAGGAAAAAAATCTCTGAACTAAAACAGTGGAGCTTGCTGTTTCAGGTCTAAATCACTTTCACTGAGAAACCCGCATCCTGGCAGCTTGCAGCAGATGGAGAAATGTCCCCAAGATTTCAGAGCCCAATGTGATACAGACGGCGGAAGAGTCAGGACCTCCTAGCTGAGCACTGCTGCTCCTCGGGGTGAGTACGAGCCTCAGTGAGGTCCATAAGCACACATCCGGGCCATGAGTCCTCTCCTCCTCTCCTCCCTCGAGCCTACACCCTCCTGCATGCTAGCCCTGCACTCCACCCCTGACCTATAGCCCCTCTCTACCCACCTTACTTTCCCCAGACTCACCTTTATTCCCCCAACTCAGGGAGTATGCTGGGCCCCAGGGTCTTCAGAAAAAAAATCAAATTTCATTTTTAGATGAATACAGAGTCCTGCATACCTTTTTAAGTTACTACCTATGCTTATGAAACTTCCCAAATGGTCTGAATTCACTTAGCAGTCTGATTTCCCCACCAGACTTTTCTGGACTTGATAGACACTGGTTCACTCTTAAGATCAGGGGTTGCAACTCATTCCTCCTTTCACTTGGTCACTATGATCAGAGGTGGAAGAAACTTTGGTGAGTGCATAATTCTAGCCACTTTTGGCCTTGCCATAACGCCCCGTAGCTTGGAACAACCACTTGTGAGGCTGTGAGGTTGTAAGTCAGCGCATGAACGCAGATGAATGACTGACCATAAAGCACCATGTTACCTCTTCCCCCTTGGCTGTAAGCCTTATCACTATTCATAAAGTTAATTCAAGTCTTTAAAAAAAAACACTTCATTTCAATGATGTCCTTCACACAGATCACTTTTTAGTGTAACTAAGATGTGGCTCAGGGGAATCCATGAATTTGGAATTGTGGCGCTCACTCTGAGACAAATTCCTTGCACTGAGTAACGTAGAGGAATGATAAAAATCAGACCCAGCAGACGCTAGTCATTCTTCTAAACTCAAATCATGCTTTTTGGTTATATATTTACTACTCTGGTAGAAATCTGCTCCTACTTAAATTGGGCATATAATCATACATGGGCATATAATCATACATCCACGAGAAGAGAAACTGTTTACGTGTTAACGCATTACCTGCTTTTCAAAACGCTCCAGACTGCTCCCAGCACACCTTTCCCATGGCGCCTGTCCGCGAACACTCCGCTCCACCAAAACCAGTCTCCCTTGCAGACACGCCCTGTGCTCTTCTCTCTACATTTAAAGGCTCCCCAATGGCTTTTAAGATTTTGTCTTTACATTTGGCAAAGATACATCATTTAGGATCGCCATACTGTTTTCCACAGTGGCTGCACCAAACTGCATTCCCCCCAGCAGTGTAGGAGGGTTCCCCTTTCTCCACAGCCTCTCCAGCATTTGTCATTTGTGGACTTGAGAATGATGGCCATTCTGACTGGTGTGAGGTGATACGTCACTGTGGTTTTGATTTGCATTTCTCTGATAATTAGTGACATTGAGTGTTTTTCACATACCTATTGGCCATTTCTATGTCTTCATTGGAGAATTGCTTGTTTAGGCCTTCTGCCCATTTTTGGATTGGGCTCTAATGAGGAAAAAAACACTTTTAGAATGAAGGCAAAATAGAGACGTTTTCAAATGAACACACAGAGTTTGCCGCCTGTAGACTGATTTAAGGATGTACTTTAGTCAGAAGGAAAAGGATATGAGAGAGAGAGTCTGATGCAAAAAGGTGACTGTTTTTAAATGCTGAGTTGTATGTAAGCAAATCTACATGAATACTGATGTCTACCTGAAAACTGTTAGAACCAGTTAAAAAAAAATCAGTTAAGTTCCAGGATACAAAATCAATAAACAAAAGTCAGTTGTGTTTCTGTGCACTAGTAACAAAATATCAGAAAGAGAAATATGGAAAACAGTCCCATTTACAATTTCATCAAAAAGAAAAAATACCTAGGAATGAGTTTAACCAAGGAGGTGCTAGACCTGTACACTGAAAACTGCAAGACAGTGATGAACGAGACTGAAGAAAACACACAAAAAATGGAGATATTCTGTGCACATGAATGGGAAGAATTAATATTCTTACAATGTCCATACTACCCAAAGATTCAGTGCAATCCCTATCAAAATGTCAGTGGTATTTTTCACAGAAACAGATTAATCCTAAAATTTTTATGTAACTGTAAAAGACTCCAGAGAGCCAAAGCAACCTTGAGAAGGAACAACACGGCTGGAGGCATCATCCTTCCTGGTTTCAAACTGTATTATAAAACCATAGTAATCAAGGAGGTTTGAAAAGGTTTGAAAGCAGGGACTGAAACACACACCTCTGCACCCATATTCATACCAGTGTTATTCACAGTAAGACGTAAGCAACCCAAGTGTCCACGGATGGATGATTCCATAAACAAAATGTGGTAAATACACAATAAGCCTTCAAAACTAATGTCAGCGTGGATGACCCATAAAGTCACTATGCCCAGTGAGACGAACCAGACCAAAAAAGGACAGTCTATGATCCTACTAGTACGAGGTGTCCAGACAAGTCAAAGTCAACAGCACAAAGCAGGATGTATGTGCCAGGGGTTGAGGAGAGCTACTGCTTAATGGATGCAGCTTCACTTGGAGAAATAGAACGAGTGCCAGAGAAGAATGCTGAGGGTATTTCTACAACAATGTACATCTACTTCATGTCGTAGAGCTATGTGCTTAAAGCGGTATAAAAGGTAAAAGTCATGCTGTGTAGATTTAATCACAGTGAAACCCATGAATGAAGTGCTGACACTTGTCACAACGCGGATGAACACTGAAAAACATCCTGAGAGAAAGAAGTCATGCAGAAAAGGCCACCCACGTCATACCCATCTTGTGCACTTAAAATCGGTCCAGGTTGTGAAAATAAGGAGAGGAAAAAACAAACAAAAACAAAAACAGTTCCAGGAAGGGAAAACTGGGTCAGTATAGAAACAGACATTGCCATACAGTGGGGGCAGGTAGTCAAAGTTTCCCTGGGTCTGCGGATGGAATTCTGAAGTGGAAACCAGAACAATTCCTCACCGGGGGTCATGTGGTGGTAGAGTGTCAGAATTTGAGGGAAAAGCCCACCAGAGATTTTCATCTTAAGTTTGGTGTATGTGCTACGTCAATGATGACTGAGAAAGCTCAGCTTACAGAGAAAGAGTAGACTTTACTGCTACTGCATGTTTTCTGTATGTTTAAAATTACTGGAAATTAAATACACACACACACACACACACGTATATATTTTTAAATCAACCATGTCAAAACCATGACAGAAAAGCAGAGAACACATCAAACTTCACTGTAGAAAAATAGCTCCGCCGCCCAGATCCAGTTCATCCAAAATGGTTAAGCTAATCGCCCTTGTAGGAATCTACATACTACTAAGAGGCACTATGAGAAGTTAGTATTATAACCCACTATGTCTTGGGTGTTGTGAATGATCTGGATGTGATAGGAACATCAGCATTTTTGAATTCCAATTTTCCACATCAAACCACCAAAAACCTGGTAAAACTAATGAATGAATTTAGTGATATACCAACATCAGTTGAGTTTATTAGTGTATGGAAAGAAGTCTCAAAGAAAAATTAAGAAATCAATCTCATTTAACAATTGCACACACACGTCACAATACCTAAGAATAACCTTAACCAAGGACATGAAAGGCCTGCATGTGGAAAACTGCAGAACACTGATAAAGAAACTGAAGACACAAATAAATAGGAAAAAATATTCCGTGCTCATGCATTGCAAGAATATTATTAAAACAACATTTTCGTTAATTGGAATCTCTACCAAATTCAAATGGCATTTTTCACAGAAACAAAAAGCAATCGATCGTACCAGCCCTAGGAACCAGGGAAGAACCCAGAGCGGCCTGAATGATCTGAGAAAGGAGAACACAGTTGGAGGCATCTTGCTCCCTGACTTCAAACTGCGTCAGAAAGCTACGGTAACCAAAACACTGAGCTTCTGGCACAAAAAACAGGCGCGCAGACCAGAGGAACAGAACAGGGAGCCCAGAAGGAAACCAATGTGTATGCTTTCAGTTAATTCATGACAAAGGGGCCAGCGACACGAAATGGGGAAAGGACAGGCCCCACAATAAACGGTGTCAAAGTGAATTCTATTTCTATACAGCTTAGAGAAGAGATTAAAATATATAGACATATATATATATATATATATATATATATATATCTCTAGTCATCGTGCTTTATCTGCCTGAAATGATTTGGGGGGAAGGTAGTGGTACCAGGATTTCTGAGTGAAGAACTGACACGTGTCGATATTGACATCGTGCCCCTTCTGGGCCCTGAGTGTATTCTCACGAGGCATGTGGGGTGGTGACGACTTCCCTGATGTAACACTCAACCTGCCTTGGCTATTGGCACTTTTTACAGCTCTGTGATGCAGTACAGGAGGAGGAATGATTGACAGTAATTTAAATGTTTTTTCAGAACTTAGAAATAACCTGGAGTAAAATGCCACATTGTCTTCCAAGAGCAGAAAAATGGGTGAAAGCCGCTTCTTAAAGAAGCAAGTGGTTGAATATAAACTTGGGTGTTGTTCTGAAATTCATCCGTATATTTCATTATTCGTTTTGTTAAACAACATGAAGAGCAGAGAGCTTAAAGAAACCATTATGGGTTGATGGTTCTTTTCTGACAGGTATTTATACAAAGTATTGCAAGGAAAATAATTGCAATGAATTGGGAAGTAAATCCTTAAGTTTTGTTTTAAATCCGATCCTCTGTTACTGCTTTCAGTTTAGCCAAGAAGTATTTGTTGAGCACATGACACATTCCAGGCACTGTTA